CTATTTAGCCGAAGGTCGTGAGTTCGAATCCCGCTCGTGATTGTCTTTTTTATCTCAACCAAGACCATAGAAAGAATAATTAATTGAAAGAAGTAACTTGGTCAATTGGCCACTAAAACGTAAATGGTTTAAAATTAAGGATACATATAATGCATATTGTCAATATGAAAAATACCTTGAGGAAAAGTTGGTTACTTTTGGATTTTTTTATTCTCCCACTAGGGGTAAAAGTGGCAAAAAAGGAAAATATATCAATTGTGTACCTTTTTGTCTGTGTCCCATTTGCTATCTTTTGAGAAAAAGTATACGTGACTATAAAAAATCGAAAAAAACCATGAAGTTATTTCCTTGACCACTACATTTTACAATTTTTTGTATACATCAATCGAATCTCTCTATCATCAAATTACACTTACATCAAAGTATTTTTTCAATTTGTAAATATTTGATCGAAATCTCGTGTAGCAAGGAGAGACCCTTGGGTGGCTAAAGTCAAACGTAAGATGTTGTTTAAGTAATGCTTATTTTTGGCCAAACGACTGGCCAATCATCTTTACTAAAATAGCATTACATTATTAAAATCAACTTTTTGAGAAATCATATTTCTCATCGGTAAACAACGTTTATTCACTGCGGAGATTTTCCTAGAATTTTCGTATTGAAAAAGGAGGTTCTTGAAGAAATGTAATTGCAATCGTTTGATCCCAACTTGAACGGGAAACCTTTCAGGCCACGAGGAATTTTGGTGAGGTGATATAACGCATTTTGGCCAGAGAGCCCGTTGAGCCACCCCTGAGAAAGTAAATTACGACCGGCCCTCCAACCCTCTTCAGGAGATCTGGGTCAAAACGGTTTTTCCAAACCTCACTTCTCTTGGAAATTTCGTAGTTTAATCCATGATATACGAGTTCCGACCAGCTTTTATAATTAATAAAAACAAAATTATTTACAATTTTTTGTATGTGTGTATTCATGTTTAAGTTTAAACCTTTTATCTAGAAAATGTTCATAAAAATAAATGAAGACATAACGTATGATACACAGCGAAGTGCCTGCTGACCGAGTCCCATGACATATTCTCTATAAATAACCATGATTTTGATATTATTTCTAATATTGTTAGAGAGCATGCAGCATTATAATTTTATAATAAAAGACGATAAGGGATTAGGCAAAGAAAATTTTTTATAATTCATATAAACATTTTACATGTTTTGATTCAGTATAAAATAATTTTGAGTGTTATTTAATTATAAATTCCTTTTATCCATGAAATCAACATTACAGTTTATGACAAAGTTCAAGAAGTTGAGTGGTTCTCAAATTAGGAATAAGTAAAACGTTTTTTTATTAAAATTACCAATTATAGATAATTTAATTGAAGCGTAAATATTCAGACAACCCACAACAAAGGAGATAATACTACTGACTCTTCATCCATGCGTCCATAAAACTGCTCGATTAATTTGTCTACTTGACCGTATGTTAAAACTTTCCCTAAAAACCATTTATTATACTAAAAAATTAAAAACAATATAAATGTTGGTCAATACACCCAAATAATTAGCCGTTGGAGGGGCAATGGAATCTATCACCCATCACAAATGAAACTAGGTTTTCGTTGTTTACCAAGTACCATACAGACAGATTGGAAAAATATTGAAGTGAGAAGGGTTCATAATAGCTCGCTGGAGTGCTTGCTCCCTTATCAATTCGCGGGTTGTGAGTAAAATCATGCTTTTCAATAGACAGACATATTCTCTTCTTCCAAAACTTTTTTACTCAATTTAGAACCTTGTTTCATGAACTAGCTTTTATAAATGTAAGAACTCTAAAAGTTTATTCGAAACCATTTACGTTTTAGTAGTAAATTGTCCAAGTTACTTCTTTCCATTAATTAATCTTTTTTTTTTTGTCTTCGTTGAGATAAAAAAGTCAGTGTCACGAGCGGGATTTGAACCCACGACCTTCGGCTAAATACGCCGCTGCTCTACCACTTGAGCTATCGTCACTACGATCCGCCCGAAAAATGGCAAAAAGAGGGAAAATTCGAACAGTTGTAGGTTGAGATGGAGAGTTAGTGTCCGTGGGGATCGAAGTCACGATAGCTCAAGTGGTAGGGCAGCGGCATATTTAACCGAAGGTCATGGGTTCGAATCCCGCTCGTGACACTGCCTTTATCGTAAACTTCATCCGGTATGAAAAATGTAGTTGTTCAGTAGAGAATCTGACTGTTCCTTTATCTGATTTTTGGAGGAAAAGGAATGTTTTTACACATATACATTTTTTTGCGTTAATGTAATTATTGTTTATATAATAAGTTTGGTTATAGATGCATTTATGTTAACTTTTTCGTTAGAATGCCTATTATCGAATTGCGCAATTCGGAGGTCTTTTAGCTCACTTGTTTAAATGCTATAAACATCAACTTTCAAGGTAAAGTCACCATTCATTGGTCGATGATGCTGAATTATTTGAGAGTAGAAGTCAAGATTCGTTCGCTACCATTCGCGGATTATCGGCCACAAAAGGAATTTCAAACGGACATAAGCCTCCTCTTCATCATGATTTATCAGAAGCCGAGGCCAGCTTTAAGGTCTTTGGTCCAAAACGAATAAATTTTATTTGTGAACATTTAACCTACCGTTTTAGCAATGGTAATTCAAAAAATTAGCCAAGGCTTTGTCTCTACCGGTTTGACTGTGGATCATACTTTTCAGTGTATGAATGTTGGTTCTTTGACCACAATGTCTGGTCCACAAATTTGATATTTCCTCTTGGGATTTGCAAGCTGTTAACACTGTAGTTTGGTCGTGTCAATGCCTTAACCGTTGCGGCCTCCGACACCCCAAAGTTAAAGTTTAATTATTTAGAAAAAATGCTTCCGCTTTTATGTACCTTCAGTTAATTAGATCTAATCGTTTGTATGATTTACAGTTAGGAAACCTAGCCCAACCGTGTAGATAAATTATGAGATTTCTTTTTAAAATTATTTTTGGTTGGTTTATATTTGTTTGCATTATTTGCATTTCGTCGTTATTTTATCTACTATTCTAAATTTACGGCCGTAAGTATTGATTGTCAAAGTCAATAGTCACGTATAGAGATGTTTTATACGAGCGGTGGAAATATCCGCTCTTCTTTAAATGTATATGAAAATTATTTTCAATTAATTAATCTTTAATTAATTGAAAAGAATTTATTTGGACAATAAGATCACGAAACCAAAAATATGTATATGAAAAAATAGTTTTGCAGCTATCAAACACAGGTAAACTGGTTTATAATTTAAAAATTTATATTTGCGAACCCATTAATTAATTCGGATTCGAATTTATAATATATACCAATACTTATCGATAAAAGTTTATTTACTATGAAAAGCTGGCATTTCAATTCTTGCCATAAATCTACGTCTGTTGGAATTTTGGAATATCGTTCCAGAATCAAAATTTCCATACTTTACCAAAAAGCTACTTGCTATCTTATTTCAATCTTTACACACTTATTGCTTTAAAAACTTTTTAATACACACTAATTAATTATATATATGGCAGATAAGTTCATGTAGAATAAATTAAACAAATTTAAATTTATATATTTAAATATGGTGTGATTCTTTGTTTTTTTACCATATCTGAAAAACCACCCAAGTTAATATCAAAATGCAATCAGACCGGTGTGATTATACAAAAACCTTTCAGCGTTATTATGGCAAACATGATTTTTTTCCTTCGATTGTTGTTTTACATTATCCAGTTTGCACATTACGCGTAAAAGCCGGTGCGTTAAGTGAACATGTGCACGAACGCGCTCAAAACGTAGTCGATCTTATCTTGTGCATTGTCGCTTTCAATATTCAAGGGCAAGGACTTTCCCGAAATATTTCTAAATTGTCAATGGTGTAAATATATGAATTACCCCTGTAACTATTCAAAAGAAACTTTTTTTTAGCCTTAATCACGAAATTACCGTAATTAATCGAATTTAATTAGCCAACTTTCCTACTTAAGCGTCTGCGTATTTTTTCTCTCCCTAATTGAACATACATTCAGTAAACAATTTTTTTTTTAATCAGCCATTATAAAACTTTTAACAGGAACATAACACAATATCTAATTACTTATTTCCTGTATGCAAAATAATGTAGAAGAGTTGAAAATGCCTTGTAGCCACATTGAGAATTTTGACGTCGGCAATGGCCGTGAAAGTATTTTATACTAATTCCGCTCCCATCCGATCAAAATGCTAACAAGTTCCGAGATCTTAAACTGGATTAATAACATGTTTTTGAGCCCTGTTTTTACTTCTCATCCCAATGAATTAAGGACTACAACATCTCGGCCTTCCTCCAAAAATTAAAGCTGAGACCTTCGAACGTAAGATATCCGGTTGTGATACTATAAATCAATTCTTAATCAAGATGGCACGGAATTGGCTTGGAATAATTCCAAGGAAGGGCGTTTTAGTCTTTCTGAGCTTACCCCGTTTATTAAGAGTTTTTTCTACTTTCCTATACTTTTACCTATTTCCATTGGGTCGAAAAACCCGAGAAGTCGACAACATAAAAGCAGATTCAACAATCAGGTTGTGCGCTGAAATTGCTGACAAAAGTGCCGCTTAGAATCAAAATAACCACCATGAATAGTAATTAACGTATCAGTTTTTATATTTATTGATATATTTATATGTCGTAAAGACCATCTCAGTAAAAATTGAACCGATATTTCAATCATATCCCAAAATATAACTTTCATACATCCGCAGTCATACGTAATATATACTAAAGAAAATTGGTAAAACTTTGTAAAAAAAATACACGCATATGTAAAACATCATTTGTTTTTAGAGTACGACTAGTTTTATTTAGGTAATTAAATATTATATTCAAAATTTTGTTTGCTGATAACTGCATATATTAAATAATATGAAATAAATTATTTTATAATGTATGTACCTAAGTTATATTTTTTTACCTACATTTACAATTTTTGTTTTAGAACCACCCACTTCCCAGTCCAATGGAAATTTACCCTCATTGTAATACATGATAATCTTCGTCCACTTAGTCAGTGGCAGATAATGGAAAAAACCTTAGAAACACTTCTACTTAAGCAAATTCTCGTCGCCTTCATTCCCGCAACCATACTCCTGACTCCTAGTTTAGATGCAGACGATCTCATTTCACTGGTATCATCACGTCATAGATATTATCGCTCTTAAGAGGAAGAAGTACTGCTCCGGTGTATTCCTAGATGTGAAGCAAGCCTTCGATCGGACATGGCACTCAGGGCTACTACCTGATCCTAAAATTCTACTTAACTAAATTTAAGTCATCAGTGGCTCCTCCATCCTCTTCACAGTATACACCGCAGAGATTCCTTTGCTCTCATAAAAATCCCGTCATCTCTACCTGAAATTTGCAAAATTCATATCACATCCCTTTGAGCACCAGTGGAAAATGAAAATAAACATGCAATAAATACTGTTTTAAAGAAGTATACCATTCCCATTAGCTGGTAATGGTAGACTCCTAGTTTATATGTAGACGATCTTATTTCACAGGTGTCATCACGTCGTAGACATCATTGGTTACAATATCTGTATTCGGCTATTCTACTACAACGATTTACAGTTCGATGGAACGCATAAACGCGACTCATAGACCAAGTAATTTCAAGAATTTGTCAACAACTTCACACTTCGTAAAATATTGCTGATCAAACGCTCCAAACTGTCTCTGCAACACAAACCCTTCATTTACATGATCATGCTGAGGCTCATTTCGACACACGACAATGGAATATGAACCAAATGTACCGACGTATCCTTCGAACTGTCGTCAGTGCTCCTTTCTATGTATCAATTTTACCATTCACAACGACCTTAATATTCAATATGTCCACGAAGTTGTATTAACAGCTACAAGAATTATTACAAACGATTATCGTATCACGTAAACCCTAATGTCAGAAATTTTTCATTCCGCACCCTTCCAGTTAATCCTCGCCGAAGATTGAAACGTCACTGGTCTCGCGAACCCTAAGTGACAGCGAGAGTGATTAATGCCAGAACATAGCAATGACTACGATTGAGTCGTTAGTATTGACACGCAGGCGAAATATAGTGAGTGTTAATCAAAATGATATTGATCATTAATTTGAATATCAGTTTTTATAATTATTAATGTATTTATATTTGTACTGCCTTAGCAATTAATTTAATTATATTGTATACACTTCACAAGATCAAATAATCATTTTCATACTCCTTAATTATTCGTAAAACTAACGAAAATTGGTGAAAAAGTTTTACTTTTTTAACGATGGATTGGCCAGGGAAGAGAGAAGGCTGTTTAGTTTTTAAAAACATTATATTTTTCAACGTTTCGGCTCTCTTCTTTCCCACTTTCGGGAGATTTATCTACAACATAAATGTAGGTTCAATAGTGGAAGTAAAAATTGAATGTAAGCTGTAGAAGTATTTTAGCAGATGAAGTTCAATCTTTTAAATAACTAATAGATAAGATTTTAAATAACTAAGTTTACCTAATACATCATAAAAATTTATTACAAAGTAACTAGTTTTAAACAACGAACATGTCTTACATTGTCCATTATATCCAAATCTTCCCAGAAGTGGCTCCAAAAGAGGCTAAACATTGGAAAATGTAATCTCATATATTACTAGATTTTCTAAATTAACTTCATCTATTAAAACATTATTAATGGCTACCTACAAATTTTGACTTTGACTCTTGCACCGGTCTATATTGCATGTAGATGTATCCATTGACAATGGCGGCTTCAAGAGAGGTGGAACATTGGCAAATATAATATTTTAAATAGCTAAACCGTCTTCTTTCTTCCCTGACCGAAGCGACGCCTCGATGAAAATGGAAAAAACCATGGCCGACAAACACAATAACAAAAATTGGTGGAGTTTTGCAAAGTAGCTCAAATAATTGGAATTAATATTGTGGATATTTTAAAATTCATTCCACCCAGTATTGAAATTGTGTTAACTGATTGCTTTATCTTGAAGGTATTGCCAATAAAAATATACCATTGTATATTTCATTGATTGAAGAGGAAAAACTTTAGTTTATTTGAGTAACACAAACTTTTATTGATAATTTATTTTCTGACAGCTTCGAATGTTAATTAATGTCAAACAGAAAAATATATATTTTATTGAATAATATGCATGTTAAAGGTTTAATTAATTATAGTAATGAATGTTATGTTATATTGTCCTTGTTGTCTACGATTGATGAATCCGAAATATGGTTCTTACCGACCATTTTCATCTGCCTATACTCGCTGGGTTGGTCGCTCAGACGGATTTCGCCATGTACGATGTTGGTTTTGTTTACTTGCTGGTTCCTTGCTCACAAAACCATCTCAGTAGTACACAATAATTAAAACTACAATATACCTGAGGGTTTTTTAATCCACCTTATAAGAAATGAAGGTGAATAATATTTTATTAATTTTAGAAAGTATCCGCCATTCATCAACTGCAATGTACTTTTCATTAATAGTTGTCATTTTTTTTAATTTTGTAGCAAATTTACATTTTTGAGACCCTTACGTTTTCTGAACATGTCACACCAACTTCACCAGGAAAATATAAACAATAAAACGTTTTCACTAATATAGCATGTTGTATTGAATTCATCTTTTAAACTATAGCCATTATAATGAAAATCAACTCGATTTGCGGTTCCATTTGCATTGTAATTACAATCGTTGTAGATAAGGATATCCATAAAAAGGGTAGTTTTTCCCCTTCTCGAAACTAAAACGTTCATTTTAATCAGTTGCTTGCTTAATATTTTCTTAGTGATTATAATATCCTTTATGGATATTAAAATAACTACAGCTTTGTGATTAATTATTTCGGATAAATTTTCAACGGTGCGTATTTTGGTAAATGCAACGAGGTAAATGCAAATCGCTCTGTCGCTCAAAATATTTTTCAAACAACAAAACATTAATATTTCCATAAATTACATAGCTATTTTCTGGAAGATGTTTTTTATAACACCATTAAGTTTCACATTTAAAGACGCAAAATAGGCAAGTTTAAAAAAACGAGGACTAGTTCATAATGCTTCAAATATATAAAAAAAGGCAATATACCACAAGCTACATACACGTCAGATATCGTTTATCTTAAGCATCCCAGATGTTCAGACCTTTTTGCTGTATTCGACATATTTTACGTTTAGTTGACGTCAAAAGTTCAACGTACAAAAATTATTTTAGAATCATATTACAAATTTAATTGTCGATACTTTTCATCATTCAAATTATGGTTGTTTTTTATATGTAAAAACTTTACATATAAAAAACAAGCATTAGTCTTATTGGATTGATGGTCCAATCTAAAAAGTACCTAGTATAATTTTACTGGTATATTGTAAATGATAAAAAATTATATTTCAAAAAAATGTGGGGCGGTACAAATGAAACAATATTAAATAAACCAATTTTCTGCATCCTTTTTATAATTTCCCAAACCCTGTAGATGAGTTAATAAATTAATTTTTTGCCGAAATTAATGTTAATGCAATGAAGTGCAAGTTAAGTGAAATATTTTTTACTATAATTATTCAGAAATCGTGAGATGCGGTCTGGAGTGATGTAGGTTTCAGAAAACCATTTGCTTTATCGTGCAAACGTTTCGATCTTTATTGAGATCATCTTCAGGGCTCAAAGTGTTTGTCTTCTGTGTAATTGTGCCATTTTTGCGTGTCGTGTTGAGAGTTGAGAGTTGGGCACTCCCAACACGATACGCAAGAGTGGCACAATTACACAGAAGACAAACGACTTGAGCCCTGAAGTTGATCTCAATAATGATAGAAACGTTGGCACGATAAAGAAAATGATTTTCTGACACCTACATCACACCAGACCGCATTCACGATTTCTGAATAATTATCGATTAACGGTCACTAACCACCACACATTTCTACATGAGAAGAACGAAGAACATGGGATTCTATTAACAACTTTCAACTACATATGGACACGAAGCTAAAAGTATTCTGAAGGACATCGCCAACAAGGAGAAGAAACTTGTATCGTTAATTGGGCACTCTCAACACGACACGCAAGAATGGCACAATTACACAGAAGACAAACAAACACTTTGAACCCTGAAGATGATCTCAATAAAGATCGTAACGTTGGCACAATAAAGAAAATGTTTTTCTGAAACCTACATCACACCAGACCGCAACTCACGATTTCTGAATAATTGTCGATTAACGGTCACTAATAACCACACATTTTTTGCTATATTTTAATTGTTTTCACCTGTTGATTTTATTGAGAGAATATTTAAAAATATGTGTTAATATTTGGTGAAAGATAAGTTGGAGAAATATTCGTCTACAAATACAAAATTTATTTTCACAATCGAATTAAAATTTTATAACTTTTTGATAGGGTAGGACACCCATGGCAAATATTATAAACTTAAACGCTTCCTACTCGTACTTTTCTTAGTAAGGTACCTGAAATCTTACTTAACTGACCAATCAAACCGGCGCGATGTCCAGCAAGGGATATTCTTGGCTTTATCCTGTGAACCATTTACACTTTTGGCTTTCCCATTATACATTTAAACACCACCGATAGCACTTAGCGGGTCACCCATCTATTCTTCTTCTAACCCTAATCCTATCAAAGCAACATCCAACATCTCAAATCTTTAACATCAATGAAAGCCTTGCCCTTCACTGTACATCAGTAACAAGGGGCAACCGATTTCCAAAGTGAATACTTAAGGATGTATCTACGAATATTCTGTATCTTGGTATAGTCAAGTGGATCAAAAAAACAATTTTAATTATTACTTGCCAAGCTTTCGACCTATTTTAAGGTCACCATCTAGGTGACCATATCGAGGTACAAATCATTTGTGAGTAAAGAAGTGGTCGATATATAATCACTTTAAACAGGAACTATACCTAGAAGAATGACGTAGAACCCCACACAAGACTTATAAGAAAACAATTTAACAGAGGACTTTGACAATTAGGAAGACTTTTAGGGCCGAAATCTCTTTTGACCGACAAAACACAACTTACAAGACATTATTGCAATCACCTTGAACATATGGCGTGGAACTGTGGGATTCCGCCAAGTCATCCAATATCAACTCATCCAATTCTTACAATCGAAAGTCCTCAAACGAATTGACAAAGCCCCTTTTAGGTCACTACCTCACTATGTACATACTGCCTCAAAAATTCCTTTTGTCAACGTACTGATCTGATCCAGATTCCAAATGTTACCAACAAAATTTTCGATCCATCTTAACTTTTCTGCCCAAGCATTTTCTACACTTTCTCATCCCGAGTATCCGCCAAGTCGCCCCAAAGAAGATGACAGCGAGACATTCTCGCTCCTCATATGAGTGCCACCGTTGACAGTGCTGGTCATAGTGACAGATTGTCAAAGGGTAACAAAACCATACACGCGCATTCATTCTATTTTGATGTACAGGTTACAAATATTTCTTGGGATCTATGAAATCATATCAAGCCCCGGGGTTCAGGTGTTTTTGTACAAAACCCATTTTAAATATGTTTTCAGTAGTACGAATTCAGGGCAGTGGGATTCGAACTGGGACCCTTACTGTGATGAGCCACACTGACAATGTTATAACCAGCGTCATGACGTCTCGAAAAATTATTAATTTTTAAATTATCTAAATCTGTGAGTTAATGGCATAGTTGTTTGTACATGTCGTAATGATACTTTGTTGAAAGTGACAATATAAATAAATTATGAATGTATAAATGTACAAATGCAATGAAAGTTTTTTGTTTAGTACTCCGACTGGTTTCTCTACATTCTCTTCTTTAAAATTCATGTTTGTCTTTTCAAGCCGATGTCTGCACGTATCTGTCTTCTGAATGTTTACAAGAAAGGAAGAAAAACTCTATGAATTAACCATCAGCAAATAAAAGTGTAGAAAAATTACCGTGGCCTCCGGTTTGCCCGGACACGTTAATTAAACAAAGGGGGTAAAGTAATGACTAATTCAAGAGATAGCCCGAAAAGAGCTGTCTTGCATTTATTATGGCAAGG